AATGAATATAATGACTGGACGATAGCTGGGTTTCAGAAAGAAAGGTTAGCTGTAACTTTAAAATGGCACGAATTTTGAATAGACAAACAAGAAACATATACTGTAGTCAGATTTGAAAACATGATCTGCAACAACTCTACGTAGATGGTACATGTCAAAGTAACATCCGCTTTAATGCCAGGACCCAAGGATTCCCAGGAGAACTCTACCCAGAGCACAACACGGACTAAATCGCAGATACAATCGAGGGAAAAAGAAAGTTCTCCATTTTGATTAATTATTGTTCAATAAATCATAACGGTGTAATATATCATGTGTCGTTATTCATCTGTGGTTGTATTACCTAATTTGAATAGATAATTGTCATTATATCCAGCTATGTAAAACCATAGAATTCACAGAGGGTGCACTTTCTTTTCCCCATGACTGTATGTTTCTATTCTTTCTTTTATTATCTATATGTAAATGAACCAATTAATACAAAGCCTGTATCATCTCAAGTCTCACTGACCTTTCGCGATGACAATATTTTATGTGAAGGTATTTATGAGTCTGTAGAATTCTTTCAGAAGGATCATGGCTGTTTATACATCTGTTTAGATGTTCTATCAAAGTAAATGTTGTAGACCTCCATTTCTCTGTGAGTTTTCCAGAGATATCCAAGTACCCGGTAGTTTATATCTCTAAAAGACTATCTCTTTCACGGAAAGAAACTGGCACAAACATTTGGAATAGTGAAGAACTTAAGAATTAATTTTAATTTTCAGGTACAATTCACGAATAGGAAACATTCTCTAATTCATCCATTTTGCTAGTACAGATCGTACATTTAAAATGTGTTGTTGTTTTGTGAAGAAAAAAAATTAAAATAATAACCATATAGACATACAAGTGTAACAATTTATACAAGAGGATATATTTTATTTTCACATGGTAGGTTGCGATGTTTATAATATATCTCCCCCCACCAGTTGGAACCATATACAAACAGGTCCCAGAAGGTTCAGATCACGAATATTGCAACGAAAACTGGAGCCATGGCCAATGTTACGGAATGTAAAATATGTTTAAGGACTGTTTGTACTAAGGATATTTAGAGAATTAATACATAGCAAAATTTCAATGTACAAGGATGTTTTTCTGTCACTGTGAAATACATATAACAGTATTTTCCTACAAACCTTCGCATCGACAAAAACCAGAACGCGTACAGGAAACTGAACACAGATGTTGCTGTACTGATTTCAATACACTCCATGTTCTCCTTCTTGCCTTAAGCGCTCTCACTCATTGTGTCAGTGACAAAGAACAGAAGGATTAACAATCTGTTTCCAGCCTTTCACTATAGCATTCTTTTTATCTGTCCATATATTTAACACTAAGGAGCATATTTTACAATTTTACAATTGCAAAGTGTATTATTTACAGTAAATATGTTTGAAGACAATGCACTAGTTTGGAGGGGTCATATTAAAAAAAACAAAAAACTTATTATATAAAAATAAAATAAATATAAAGAAAAATTCCGAACATACATATAATCAGATTAAAATGATAACTTAAATGGTTTAAATAATACAAGTCTTCAAGTTAAGCAGTTGAGCTCCAATGCATGATTTTGTAGTGGTTGTAAAGTAATATAAATTCTCATGCACTCGAACACTGGAGTTTTCAGGAGAACAATTGTATTAAAGGGACACTATAGTCACCAGAACAACTACAGCTTATTGAATTTGTTCTGGTGAGTAGAATCATTACCTTCAGGCTTTTTGCCGTAAACACTGTCTTTTCAGAGAAAATGCAGTGTTTACATTACAGCCTAGTGATAACTTTACTGGCCATTCCTCAGATGGCTGCTAGAGATCCTTCCTGGGTCACTGCTGCCTAAAATGCAAAGAGATTCATTGATTCAATTCATCGCTATGAGGAGATGCTGATTAGCCAGGGCTGTGTTCGAATTATGCTGGCTCTGCCCCTGATCTGCCTCCTTGTCAGTCTCAGCCAATCCTATGGGGAAGCATTGTGATTGGATCAAGCTACCACTTCTGCTGATGTCAGCAGACTGTTTGTTTTTCTGAGTCTAACAGCATGCAGAGTTACAGCTTCTGGCTTGAATACAGTAAGATTTTTACTATA